TGTTTAATATGAAAATTGTAGGAAAAATAAGAATGTTTTGTATAGGTCATTTTTTCTACAAGTCGTATTTTGTTTATAAAATTGTTATAAACAAATTAAGCTGGGTAAATAGTGTTTCATCCTAAGAATAAACAAATGAATTTTGAGTAAAACTAACAATTGGATTCATAGGCAAATGGAAAAAAAAGATATACCTGTTTTTTTGTTTATAATTTCTAATTGTTTAACAACAATTGTTTAAACAAATTAATAATAATTTAAGATTTTTTAAAAACTGTTAACGCCTATCGATTCTACGTGGAAAAATAAGAATGTTTTGTATAGGTTATTTTTTACTACAAGTCGTATTTTGTTTGTAAAATTGTCATAAACAAATTATGCTGGATAAAGAGTGTTTCATCCCAAGCAACAGTTTTCAAAAATTTTTAATTTTTATTAATTTGTTTAAACAATTGTTGTTGAACAATTGGAAATTAAATACAATTAATAGGCATATCTTTTTTTTAATTTGCCTATGAATCCAATTGTTAGTTTTACTTAAAATCCATTTGTTGATGCTTGGGGTGAAACACGCTTTACCCAGCTTAATTTGTTTATAACAATTTTATAAACAAAATACGACTTGTAGAAAAAATGACCTTTACAAAACATTCTTATTTTTCCACGTAGAATCGATTGGCGTTAACAGTTCTTAAAAAAATTAAATTTTTATTAATATGTTTAAACAATTGTTGTTAAACAATTGGAAATTAAAAACAAAAAACAGGTATATCTTTTTTTTCCATTTGCCTATGAATCCAATTGTTAGTTTTTTAATACAATGGCTGGTTTCTTCATGGGACTTAATGGGTTAATGTTATTAAATATTGGAAATTTTGAACGTATTTAATTAGAAAATTAATTTCTCAAAAACTTATTCATCTATTTTAATGGTTCAAATGTAATTCTTGTCTTGAAATCAGACACTCTAAAAAATCGGAAAATACTATTAAGGGGTTACACCACTTTGACCCGTTCAAAACATAAGCTTTTTCAACAATTTTTATTGAAGAATAGAAATTTTTTAGGAAAATTAAATTACAGTAGGGTATTGTACTACTCTTGAACTACAAAATAATATATATAAATTTTTTTTTTAAATTGTCGGTTTGACAGATGATATGTTAAAGTGCTTTAAAAATGTATCGCCATACGGTGGACACTATAACTCGGTCCAGAATTAAGCTAGACCAAAAAGTAAAAATGCTTTAGTTTCTGTAGCTCAAAATCTAGCGAAATACGTATCCGTTTAAAAAAAATTTATTTTTCTAAAAATGGCATCGATTTGAAGGAAAAAGTCCGTATTTTTGCCTAAATTTCATTATTTAAAGTTGTCTAGAAAATTTAAATATTAATATTTCGAAAAATCCGTACGTATTTCGCTAAATAATTATATTACAAACAAAATAAAAAAAGAACTAAGAGGATCGATTGAAATTTGTGGCAGCTAGAGTGTCTACCGATTTTTAAAATGCAGTTTTGAGAAAAACGAGTTTAAAGTTTCCATTACAATGTAAACGTTGGCGCGCGACCCTGCTTGAACAGTTCGAAAATTGTCTTTTCACTTGAGATATCGATATATAACTAATGACATATCATTTTGGTGTCTATTAAGAGTATTTTAAGCAAAAAAATTTTTTTTCAATTTTTTGAAAATTTCAAAGTGGTGTAACCCCTTAAGAAAATTATGTGTTTGTAGGGTAATGTCACCTTGAGTGGACCGCCTGAGCTTTTAAGTTATCTGACAGTGGAAACGTGAAATAAATAGTGCGAATAGCAGCACCGCACTGAGAAACCGTATAAGAAATTAAGTTCCGCGATAAACATATACGTTACCGTTTGATGTAACGCGTTTTTAAGATCACAAACCAAAAAAAAGTCGCTCTTACAATAAGTAAAGTGATTCAGAAGTGTATAAGTAGTGTAAAATTTAAGTTTTAAAAGGTTACTTTTTTTGCCTACTACTTTGAACATTGAAATTGATTGTCTTAGTTTAATTAAGTGATAATTTTGACTCAAAAAAAAATTGTAGTGCCTGCCATGAAAAGTTGCATGTCACCATGAGTTGACCACTGTTTGTAACTATGAGTGGACTGCCTGTTTTTCCATTTTTAATGTCAGTTTACCATTTTTTGGATATAAATTGACAATAAATTGTTTTGAAACATATGTTCTATGTTCTTTATTAATTTTTTTGTGATATTGATGTGATATGAGCCAAAATTATTATAATTGGTTTCACTTGTAAACATTGCGACACTCACATGGTCTGAAGCTGCATAAGCATAAATTATGTATTAATATATCAGAAATATTAAATACATTAAAAATTTAGAATAACTTTTGCAATTTTTTAGGAGTGGTCCACTCAAGGTTACACTTTTTTCATTCCTTAAAAATTAGCTTTTTTTAAAATCAATTTTTTCTTCCAAATAAAAAAAATCAAAACTATTATGGTATAAACACTTATCTAGGGATCTAAACTAAAGCTTGGAATAGAAACCTCCGATTAATTTGCTTTCATATAGAATTTTTTCGAAAAAAAGCTTAGGCGGTCCACTCAAGGTGACATTACCCTACAAACTGATTTCAAGACAAGAATTACATTTGAACCATTGAACTTAAGCATTTGTACTAAGGTGCAGTAATGACTCCGCTTCTAAAACACTACTTTTACCATTTTTTTATCCAATTGTTTAATTTTCTTTGCAAGAATTATTATACATTTTTGAACGAAGTATTTTCTACTAAAAAATTATAGTAGTACAAATAAAATTTAGAAAAGGTTATTGGTACTGATATAAAAATTTTTAATATTTGATGTCGTGCCTAATTTAAGCGCATAATTAGTGGGACTCAAAATGCATAATCTACCTTTCTCTCTTATGTATTAAGAGATAATTTTCGTTCCAAATCTTAAACTTTTCGAAAGACTGATTCAGGGTGACCACTTTTTTCATAAAAAAAATTCACGGTCATAAAGAATAACTCTGAAAATAAATTATTCCATGAAAGATTGAAAGAATTCCCTGATTTTTAGACAAAACTTTGACTTTTTCCCAAACCCTAAAAATATTTTAGTTTACTCTCAAAATATTTGAAAATTCAAAATATGTTTATAATACATTTTTTTGAATATCTTTAACTGTAAAATCATTTGGAACTTAAATAGATTTTTTGAAACAAATATTTAATTATTATCCATTGTTTTTACGATTTTAAGATTTAAAAAAAATTCAAATTTCAAATCCTTTGAAATAGAATAATTTTTCAGAATTGCTACTGTAACTTATTAAAAATTATTTTCAAAATTTTAATTCAATTATTTTCTAGAAATTTTAATTAAAATATTTCTAAAATCCACTTTTTTACAAGACAATTTTATGAAATTTTGAATAATTGGAAAGTTTTTCAATTAAATATTATATATTTAAAAATATAACTAGGTAATTTGAAAAAAATGTGAATAAAAATGTTTCAAAAAACTAACTAATTCAGAATTTTTAATTAAAATGGCTTACAATCCAACTTTTCTAAAACTTAAATTTGAAACTTTTTAAAATTCAATCTACTTATATTAATATTAGTAATATTAATTTAACATTCTAAAATATAGAAAAAGTTGCTTATGAGTAATTGTAAAAAACCGAATTAATATTAATGCAAAATACGGTTTTTAAAAAATTTATTTTCTAAGAAAAGAAATTTTATTTATTTATATTTTTTATTTAAAAATTCATTTTTATAAATTTCGTATCACTTTTGTTCTAATTAGTTCAAATCTTTAATAATTCAAATTTGTTTTGTTATAGTATTATTGTAAAAAAAAAATTTTAAATTGATTTATTTTTCACTATATTTTATAGTACTAAAAAAAAAAAAATAATAATAAATAAAAAAATTATTAAAAAAAAATAAAATAATAAATTAATAATAATAATAATAATATAATAAAATAATTAATAATTAAAATAATTAATTTAATAATTAGTAATAATAATTAATAATATTATTATTAATTAAAAATTATTTTTATTTAAAAAATTATTTTTTATTTTTTATTATTTTTTAATTATTTTTATTATTTATTTATTATTTAGGATGTGGAATTTTTTTTCTTACATATTTTTTTGACGAATTTAATTAAAATTATATTTTGTTTAATTATTGTTAGAAATAGAAAGAATTTAAAATTAGTTAAATTTAATACTTTATTTTTTTAAGTCTGTTACGTTGGACAACAAAATTCATAATTTTCTTATAAATTCTAGGAATTGAATATTTTTACAGTACTTTTGATAAAATTCCCTGACAAAATAAAACGATTTCATAGAAAATCATTCAATCTTTTTTAATGAAATATAATTAATAAGTCTTAAAATAAATATTTCTATTTTTTCTCACAAAATAATCAGTGTTTTTAAAAAAAAATTTTCTAAAATCCCGATCAAGATCAAAATTTACTGTCATTTCCCGGTTTCCCGATCCAGCGGCCACCCCAGGTTTTCCCGTTCGTCATTAAAAAATGGGCGATTTTAAATATGGCATTTATCACAGCCAATTTGTAGCAAAATTTCAAATAAAATTTGTTTCACACTTCAGTTTGAACTTAATACAAATACTCTAAAAAGGAATCCTGTTCCTTTTTTATTTTCTACAAATAAATTATTAAAGATAGATCTACAACAAATTTAATAATCAGTTTCAGAAATCCATGTGATGTGCACATTTAGGATTATATTATTTATTTCCGAGTAGACAAAATGGGAAAAATCAGTCACATGCGCTGTAACGCACATTATTTTTGCTGGTAATATGTAGTAAAAATTATTTACAATATTATTTAAGCTTTAAAAAAACTAAAAGATTAAAATTATTTTATAAAATAGATAATTTGTGCAATTTAGGAAGTAATTTAAACTGATCTAATATAAATTAATTTAATTAAAAATAAATTTTACCGGCTGATTGTGATATTGCAAATAATAATAATACTCCAAAGGATTCTCAACAAGTTCACCACGAGGATGAGTTGCTTCCATTAAATTTACCCAAGCTGTTAATCTTTGAGCAAGTATAGTACCTCTAGCTTCAAAACCCTGCAAAAATAATAATAATTTATAAAGCTGTTTATTGTCAATAAAGAAAATAGACTTTCTTCTTAAAATACTTACCAGTTGTGGGTCTGTGAAATCGGGGAATTTCTTTGTTGCAAATGGAACGATTAAGCAAGTTGAGGAAAATACAAACACAGCTATTAAAATAGCGTAAGGATGATGTGTAATTACTCGAGAAAACCACCAAATATCCATTATTTCTCTCAAGATTTTTTTACATTTGTGGTTAATACTGTTTTGAGATCAAAGTTCGTCAATATGACGAACAAACAAAGCATTTATAAAAGTTTACAAAAAATACTGTCAATTTATAAAAAACATTTTTTCAGGAAAAACTACAAAATCTATGATAAACACTCATTTTATGATTCAAGTAAATTGTAGTAAACAACTTCAAGTAGAGGGTTATTTGAAATCTGCGAATGCGCCGCAAATAGCAGAAGGAATTTATTAAGATTTAATGTTGATTCTACAATCATGTTTACACTTGTGTTCTAAAGTCCTTTCTCCAATATTATCGTTAAGGGTGGAGTCCCATGACAGCGTTTTGCGTTGCGTCGTAATGGGAGAGAATAAGACGCAAATATACGTTTGCTGCATTCTCTCTTATTACAACGCAACGCAAAACGCTGCCATGGGACTGCGGCCTTAGGGTGGAGTCCCATTGCAGCGTTTTGCGTTGCGTTTTGTAACTAGGCCATGAGTGCAAATATAGCAGACATATATCTCCATCTCTCTCACACTTATTGCCTAGTTACAAAACGCAACGCAAAACGCTGTCATGGGACTTCAGCCTCAGGCCGCAGTCCCATGACAGCGTTTTGCGTTGCGTCGTAATGGGAGAGAAAAAGACGCAAATAAACGTTTGCTGCATTCTCTCTTATTACAACGCAACGCAAAACGCTGCCATGGGACTGCGGCCTGAGGCTGAAGTCCCATGGCAGCGTTTTGCGTTGCGTTTTGTAACTAGGCAATGAGTGTGAGAGAGATGGAGATATATGTTTGCTATATTTGCACTCATGGCCTAGTTAAAAAACGCAACGCAAAACGCTGTCATGGGACTCCACCCTGAGGCTGAAGTCCCATGACAGCGTTTTGCGTTGCGTTGTAATGAGAGAGAATGCAGCAAACGTATATTTGCGTCTTTTTCTCTCCCATTACGACGCAACGCAAAACGGTGCCATGGGACTCCAGCCTAAGGTGAAGTCCCGTGGCACCGTTTTGCGTTGCGTTTTGTAACTAGGACATGTTAGAATTTCCAAAAGTTAGAATGTTTATTTGTTAAAATTTAATTAAAAATAACTTTTTTCAAGTATTTTGTTACAATTTTTGATAATTATTTAAAATAATTGATGTAGAGAAAAAGTTTAGGTGCAAATTGTAGAAAAATAATTAAATTCAGGAAGGGCTATAAGGCTGCGGTTACACCTTTGCAGGCTGCCTGCCTGCGCAGGCAGGAGCAACGAGAGTAAGGGAGAAGTTTGAAGTCACTGACTCTCTTACTCTTGTACGTTACCATGACAACCTGCAGGCAGGCAGGCTGCCTGCAGAGGTGTAACCGCAGCCTAATTGTAATTTTTAGAAATTATTAAAATTCATAAATATTACTCATTTTCCGTAAACTTTCATATTTTCCTGTAAAAAGAATTTTGTCAGGGAAAATAATTTTAATGTCAGTAAATTGTCAGAGAAATATTAGGTTGATCAACTAGAGTAGGGGAGAGAAAACATATAATTTGAATTGTCTGAGGGAGGATTTACACCTTCGGTAAAAATTTTCAGAACGGAAAATTTTTCATTGGAGTAAGAGAAACAGACTGTATCTGACTCTCTTACTCCAATGCAAATTTTACTTTCTGGACAATTTTTACAGAAGGTGTAAACGCTCCATGACTCTCTTACTCTTATGTGTTACCATGACAAACTGCAAACAGGCAGCCACTAAAAGTGTAAGTGAACCATAGGTATGAAGCAACAGGAGTAAGAGAGAAAGTGCATTAAATTTGTGAATTCACGGATACTCTTACTCTTGTTTGTTACCATGACAACCTGCAGGCAAGCTGCAAGTCTGACACTGTAATGTTACGGTAATGTCACAGTAATATTACAACAATGTCACAGTAATGTTACAAAGAAAGATTGAAAAATTCCGTATAAAAATAATTTTATAAACTTTCTTGTAACATTACTGCGTAACATTGCTGTAATATTAATACAGTCACATCTGTAACATTACTTGTAATAATACCTTGGGGACAACATTTAAGAAAATTTATATTACACACAATAGGCCAGTCGGTGAGTGCAAAAACTGCCCAAAAATCCGAACAGCAAAGTCTAAACGGTTTCTGGTAGTTTGGGGGCTCCTTATAAGAGCCCCACAGTTTGCTCTCGATTTCCGGGTGCGAAAAAGAGTGTAAACAATCGCCAAAGTTTGGAAAACATGGTTTTTCGATGCTCGTTGCTTCCGGTTAAGTTTTAGGGGAAAAAGTTGTTATTGAAAGTTATAGAGCTTGGAAATATCTTTCAAATGATGGGTCATACGTTAAAAAAGGTTAATTAGTTTAGTTGCAAATGAATTTAAACCATTAAAAATAGCACTTCTTTAATTGTTTAATAACATTGTTAATAATTATCGAATTTGTTCATAACTTACCAGGAATGTTCTCCTTGCGAAGCTGAATAAATCCCAAAAAAATTAACTAGATCGGAGAAATAGTTTATGCATAATTCCATTTGTTAACTAAAAACATGTAATTTTTCAACGGAATTTCCCCACTTTTGGTCCATCGAATTTCGATTTTTTTTTGGAAAGTACACTTAAGAAGTCAAACTTTCATCCTATTTAAATGGCCAATTGATTTTTTTTATCTAAGTGCATAATAAAAAGGGTTAAAAAAGGGTATGTTTTTTTGTCATAAACAAATGGAATAACTCAGTCAATTTTCACTTTATCAATTTAGTGTAAACGGCATTTAATTTTATTTGTTTTCACAAAACTTTTTCAAAAAAAAAATCCAACCTAGTTTCAAGGGGGGGAGAGTTAGTTTTTATTTTTCAAAAAATTCCTGACTAGATAATAATTAATATTTTTAATTGAAAATTGTGCCACTTATAGTTCAATACATGTATTTTACGAAAAAAAATTGAACATAAGGTTTTGTGCATTTATTTTTCATTTACATCAAGTAAAAGTAAATACATCCTTTTTTCAACCTCTAAACGTCGGAGTGGGGGTACTCGGAGGAGCGTGATTCTCGCCGCCACAACTCAATTCAGCCGTTCAAATTTGCAAAAATTGTCATAACTTCGTTAATTATTTACCGATTTTAATCATTCTTTTTTTAATTTGATGTATTTTTTTACGCTGAATCCAAAAATGATTTTATATTTTTTCAAAATACAATATTTTTAAAAATAAAAGAGAAAATTTTTTTAACAAAAAATTTTTAATTATTATTTATAACATTTGACAAAAAATTCTTTTCGTACATATAATTCCATTGCATTCAGAATAATATTATGACATGAAAAAATTCAAATTATTTTTATATAAGTGTGTAGCATTAGGTTCACATATGCACACCTGTCCAACTATCAATACAACGATGCTACACACTTATATAAAAATAATTTGAATTTTTTCATGTCATAATATTATTCTGAATGCAATGGAATTATATGTACGAAAAGAATTTTTTGTCAAATGTTATAAATAATAATTAAAAATTTTTTGTTAAAAAAATTTTCTCTTTTATTTTTAAAAATATTGTATTTTGAAAAAATATAAAATCATTTTTGGATTCAGCGTAAAAAAATACATCAAATTAAAAAAAGAATGATTAAAATCGGTAAATAATTAACGAAGTTATGACAATTTTTGCAAATTTGAACGGCTGAATTGAGTTGTGGCGGCGAGAATCACGCTCCTCCGAGTACCCCCACTCCGACGTTTAGAGGTTGAAAAAAGGATGTATTTACTTTTACTTGATGTAAATGAAAAATAAATGCACAAAACCTTATGTTCAATTTTTTTTCGTAAAATACATGTATTGAACTATAAGTGGCACAATTTTCAATTAAAAATATTAATTATTATCTAGTCAGGAATTTTTTGAAAAATAAAAACTAACTCTCCCCCCCTTGAAACTAGGTTGGATTTTTTTTTTGAAAAAGTTTTGTGAAAACAAATAAAATTAAATGCCGTTTACACTAAATTGATAAAGTGAAAATTGACTGAGTTATTCCATTTGTTTATGACAAAAAAACATACCCTTTTTTAACCCTTTTTATTATGCACTTAGATAAAAAAAATCAATTGGCCATTTAAATAGGATGAAAGTTTGACTTCTTAAGTGTACTTTCCAAAAAAAAAATCGAAATTCGATGGACCAAAAGTGGGGAAATTCCGTTGAAAAATTACATGTTTTTAGTTAACAAATGGAATTATGCATAAACTATTTCTCCGATCTAGTTAATTTTTTTTGGGATTTATTCAGCTTCGCAAGGAGAACATTCCTGGTAAGTTATGAACAAATTCGATAATTATTAACAATGTTATTAAACAATTAAAGAAGTGCTATTTTTAATGGTTTAAATTCATTTGCAACTAAACTAATTAACCTTTTTTAACGTATGACCCATCATTTGAAAGATATTTCCAAGCTCTATAACTTTCAATAACAACTTTTTCCCCTAAAACTTAACCGGAAGCAACGAGCATCGAAAAACCATGTTTTCCAAACTTTGGCGATTGTTTACACTCTTTTTCGCACCCGGAAATCGAGAGCAAACTGTGGGGCTCTTATAAGGAGCCCCCAAACTACCAGAAACCGTTTAGACTTTGCTGTTCGGATTTTTGGGCAGTTTTTGCACTCACCGACTGGCCTACAATTTCATAGTGTAAAAGGCTGTAGCAGTATAAGGTAGTTCAAGTTGGGTGGGGGAAGTCCAATATGGCTGACATCAGCTGATTTACCGGAGGACAAACAATGCATTGAATTCAATGGGACAAATCAGTTTTTTAACCATAACTTTTTAAATATTCATTTTTGAACCATAGTGTAAAAGAAAATTATTCTTTATTTATCGAAATCTATTTTTTAAAACAATAAAACCAAAAAATTAAATTTTATTGTTTTAAAAAATAGATTTCGATAAATAAAGAATAATTTTCTTTTACACTATGGTTCAAAAATGAATATTTAAAAAGTTATGGTTAAAAAACTGATTTGTCCCATTGAATTCAATGCATTGTTTGTCCCAGGAAGGAAGAGTAAGGAGACCGAACTCTGCTTCTACAAATGTCTGAGAAATATGCACGAAAAGTGCCAGACTCACTGTGTTCTAGTTGATCACCAATTAAGTCGATCATGCGCACTGAACTAAAGTTCAGTGTTGACATAGATGAAAAGTGTGGTTATGTCAAGGTAAATA